CCACCCAGGTAGCAGACCAGGAGAAAAGGGAACCGTTGAGTTACGTCCCCTCTGGATAATCCCGAGAGACCCCAGGATCTCACAGATGGATGTCAGGACCTAGTCCTCGCAGCCACCCCCATTTTCTTATTTATTTATTTATTTATTTATTTATTGTCTGCATTGGGTCTTCGTTGCTGTGCACGGGCTCTCTCTAGTTGCGGCGAGCAGGGGCTACTCTTGTTATGGTGCACGGGCTTCTCATTGCGGTGGCTTCTCTTGTTGCAGAGCACGGGCTCTAGGTGCATGCGCTTCAGTAGTTGTGGCTCTCAGGCTCAGTAGTTGTGGCTCGTGGGCTCAGTAGTTGTGGCTTATGGGCTCAGTACTTGTGGTGCACGGGCTTAGTTGCTCCGTGGCATGTGGGATCTTCCCAGACCAGGGCTCGAACCCGTGTCCCCTGAATTGGCAGGCGGATTCTTAACCACTGCGCCACCAGGGAAGCCCCCATTTTCTTTCTTGTTCACTCTGGCTGGCGGTGGTACTGTCCCCTCATTGCTGGCAACTTCAGAAGTGCTTCCCATGACCTTGAAATCTGCCAAGGGCCCCCACTTGCTGGAGCACCCACGCCCAGTCTGAGCCCACCAACGTGGGTGTCTGTGTCGAGGGCACTGGTGACTGCGCTGAGGGACGGAGGGGAGGGGTACCATCACCATGCTGACAAGGATGCTTGTTGCGGGTGGAATCGTGTCCCCACAAAGATCTGTTGAAGTCCTAACCCCTGGCACCTGTGGATGCGACCTTATTTGGAAGCAGGGTCTTTGTAGGTGTGACTAAGGTGTAAGTTCAACATTGCATGGAGGTGAAGGCAGAGTTTAGGATGACGTGTCTAGAAGCCGAGGGACGCCAGGATTGCAGCCATCACCAGAAGCCACCAGAGAGGCATGGCCTCTGCCCAATTGCAGCACTGCCAGCTGCTGCATGGCCCCTGCGCCCGGATCCCCGGCATTGCAGAGAAGCGCTCATTTTGCTCTTATTTGGTCTCCTGTTGCACACCCCCGTGCCCCAGAATCCAGGTATAAACCCATGGGGCCCAGGCCGAGTGACATCTTCTGAGTGATGACCTGCTGAGCCCAGACCACCTCACGCACTGAGCTTCCCAGTCATTGCAGAACCCACGTGGGTTCTCGCTCCTCATGGGACAAGCTCTCTCTCCTCAGCAGCCCCAGTGTGCACCGGGTTAATGTGGGAAATTACGCGTCGTGCTGGGCTTTTTACACCTGCATGCGACTCGTTAGAAATGAGTTCCTCCTCTGAATACGCATATACCCGGAACAGCTATTAACCCACAGTGAAAGCTGATGTTCGGGAAAGTCAGGAATCAAAGTATGAAAAAGAAAACATAAGACCTTCAATCTAGCTTGGGGCCTGCTGTGCTGAGGTCCCTCTAGTCCCCATTCTCCCGGCCCTGGTCCACGGCACCCCTTCCCCAGGAAGGAGGGCACGGTAACCCCTGGCCAGGCTCCCTGCAAGGGGCACCCACTCGGGTCTCTCCTGGCAACTGTGCACTTCTTCTTGTGGTCTCAGCTTGTACGAGGCCCACAGCATTCCTCAGAGGGCAGGGCCAGGCCTGGGATTTGTGGACAGAGTAGACGCTGGCTGAGGGTCAAGGCTCGCAAAGCTGGGGCTGTTCCTAACAGTCCCCATAACAAGGACTTTGGTTTGGAGCACAGTTGAGGTCTTCACTTACATCACAGGGCTTCTGACGCTTGCCCTGGAGAATAATCGTGGGGGTGGGAGTACAGATGGACAGGAGTGGGGAGCTGGCATTTCCAGTGGGGCTGGGGTCCAGAGCAGCTAAGTGGTCTGAGGATGGGAGGTATTGGTCCCAAGTCAAGCATCATTTCCAGACTTCATTGATTAAACATTATCCCTTTAAAGACCTGAAGCAAATTTAAAGTAGAGCCCGTGGTCTCCTTAATGGGGAGGGGCAGGGGCAGCTCCTCTGGCAGCCACACCGTGGCTTGAAGGGCAGCTTGGAGCCCCGCCTTCTCCACGTTATGTTCTGGGTGGTTCCCTTGAGATGGAAAATTCCCCTCAGGAATCTTAGGACAAAGGCAAGGGACAGGCTGGTTGGAAGACATCTGAGAAAGCAGTTGATGGTGATGGTGATGGTGATGATGATGGTGGTGGTGGTGATGATGCTGGTGGTAGTGGTGATGGTGGTGGTGATGGTGGGCTCGCAAGTGATTCCTCATGCATTTCTCCAGTTTTCTTGTTTTGATTATCCTCCTCCAATGGCACGCACTGCCTTGTGCAGAAAAGACGAGCGTGCACACATCTCCAGCAGAAGGCATGCGCTGTGTTCATTTGTGAGGCATCCCGCCATTTTGGAATAGCTTTACCCTGAAGCCCCAGAGACGCTTCCTCTATTCCCTTCTGCTCTAATTTTCTGTTCACTCTCTAAATTTGGGGCAGTAGCAAGCTGGAGGAGAAAGAATGAGAGACGAAAGCATAACCTAAACAGAGGTGCTTCTGGTAAATGATCTTCACGGTCACGATCTGTCTTTCAGAGAAGCAGTCACCATTCTGTGCAATCTTTGCGTCCCCACGCTTGCCTGTGAAGAGCAATGTAAGGTGTGAGAAGCCTTTGCAGGGATTCATGACAATGGCCTTGACTTCAGTCTGCCACCCACCAGCATGATTGGACCCTAACCATCACCCTCCCGAGTGGCCGGAGGGTCTCCCCATCTGTCGGTCCTTTTGGTGAAGTCCTTGTAAGCTGGCCTCTCTCTTTTCTCTCTTGGTCCCCGTAACCAGGCCCTTGGGCTGGAGGACATCTGCGGGTCCCCACCCACACCACAGCTTCTAAAGCTCACCTTCCCCGGGGCCCTTAGATGCTTCCTGCATGCGGGCTCCCTGTGATGCGGGCTTCCTGCATGCGGGCTCCCTCAGGACCACCAGGGCACCTGCTCTAGGCTGAAGACTGCTTTGTCCCTTTCTCTTTGAGTTAGGTTCTGTGTCCTAAAGGAATGATGTCCATCCCAAAGTCCTGGCCAGACTTCTTCCTGGGGTCCCAAGGATTCTCACGTAAATGAGACTCATTCGGTCCGTCCTGTGAGATCAGAGGTCTCCAGTGGAAAAGCAGGTCCACCTTCTCCCAAATCTCAGGCTCAGGGATGGGGAAGGGGAGAGTTTCTATAGACCACTTCATTTCCTTCTGATTCCAGTCATCAGCTCTTTCAGACCCTGCAAGGGTTTATGAAAGAGTTCATTTAGCCTTCCACCCCAGGGTTACTACAGTTCTGTAGTAACCCACGTAGCTAAGCAATTGCATGGTGTGTGTAAAAGAATTGAGAGGTTTTCAATGTCCCCCAAGAGGCTGTGAAGAAATAACAAATGGGTTTCTCTTTATGGTGCTTCATACCTATTTTCTCCCTATGGCAATGAGGACTCTGGCTCATCAGGGCAAGTGGTCAGTTCGAACTGGGAAAAGTCTGTCTGGTCTCAGCTTTGCAGTCTGTCCTGGCAGAGATGCATGCAAATAGTGGGAGAGAGCTGGGAAGAAAACCCTTTCCTGAATCCAAACTCTGATTTCTCAATTTTAAAAGAGTGTCTTTGATCGAAATCAACAGAAGAGGGCAACTATACAACTAGTAACCCCAAGGCCTAAATTCACACCGTGTTCCACGCTACAGAAGCTGCAATGGTCCATATGTTATTATGGACCATTATTATGAACACTCCAAGTTCAGTCCATGGGGTTGGGGTTTCTGAGGCTTCTGAGTAGTGCACAAAAAACAAAGCTCAAGATGATTAGGGGAAAGATGGATATTTGTGTATATGTAAATACCACGTGTTATTAAGTAATATTTAATGAATAACAATAAATACTGTGTAATAACTACTATTATTACATATTTATTACGTATTATTAAATAATATGAAACATAGATTATATGTAGGCACAGCTTCTCCAAATTGGCAGCCACTTTCAAAGTCAAAACATAGCAGAGATCCCCGCATGGGGCTGTTCCCTGGGACAAGATTTCCTTTTTCCCAGACCGAGCAGCCAGACCAAGTGGCACTCAGGGACACTGCCAGGCTTCTTCTTGCCCCACAGGGGAGAGGACTGCAGGACAGTCCTGGGAGGTGGTGAACGGGGCTTGCAGCAGCAGGGGCAGGAGTAACGCATGTGTCCCGCTGGATGGAAAAGGAGAGGGTAGACCCTGGACTCCAAGGACCACCTGTGGAGTGGACCTCAAACCGGGCCCTCCGTCCTCAGCTCGGTCAGACTGGGTGGTGTCTTCTGTGACCTCAGCCCCAGTAGCTGGAGTCTGGGATAAAAGCCAAGGTTGTCCCAAAGGACCAGTCAACTTCCACCCCAGGGAACTTGCACTTTCATTGCAGAGTTGCTGACTGGTATCTGACTGATGGCCGATGCTTTTGTAGCAAGAATCTGAACCTCAGTGATCCAGGTTCCCCATCGACCCGGAGGCTGTGCTCAGCCCTGGACAAGACAGATGTAAACAGACATCCTCCGTGCCCGCCGGGATTGGTACCCAAATGATAAAAACGGACATGCAGGGCGTGGGAAAGGCATGAGGAGTCATGAAGTCCGGGGCCGGTGGTTAGAGAAATCAGTGTTTTGTGTTGGGTTGGATTTCTTTGTCCAATCGGGGGCATTTTGCGATCCACGATTGGGCTTCTGAAAAGAGCGATCAGGAGGAGGAATCTGAAGGTGGGTGAGACTGGATGGAATTTGTATTGCAAGATTACGGCTCTAATTTCTGCAATCAGCTCGAGGAGTCTCCACCGCCCGCTCTCGCCGCAGAAGAGCTGCAGCACAAAGCCGAGCCGGACGCGAAGTGGGTTAGGGCGTTATATAAGCCCCGGCGGGAGGGGAGATGGTCTTTTCTGCGCGCTCCTCCCGCGGCGGCGGCGGCGGCGCGGCTCGGGTTGATTTAGAGCGCGGCTGACAGCGGGCTGGCGCGGCCGCGCTGACGCCAGGCTGCTGCGTCGCCATGGAGACGGGCGGGCGCGGCGCGGCTGTCAGCGGCGGGCGCGCGGCCGCGGGGGGCCGCCGGAGGAAGGCGCGGGCCGCGGCCGGGACCCTCGCGGCAGACATGGACTTGCATTGTGATCGCGCCGCCGAGCCGCCGGCCGCCGAGCCGCCGTCGGGCAAGATTAACAGAGCCGCCTTCAAACTGTTCAAGAAGAGGAAGCCGGGCGGCGCGATGCCTAGCATCTTCGGGGTCAAAAACAAAGGGGACGGGAAGGGCGCGGGGCCCGCGGGGCTGGTGCGCAGCCGGACGCACGACGGGCTGGCCGAGGCTCTGGCGCTGGAGGGCGGCCGCCGCGAGGAGCCGCGCGCGGGCGGCGGGGACGGGGCGC